TCTGTTTTTGACCTCCCAGTCCAGCCACTGCCAAATGCAGCTGCATCTCAAGTGAGATGAACAAGGGCTGGGGATTTAGCTCAGTGGCAAAAGTGCCTGCCTGGCATGTGCAAGGTTGTGAGTTCGGTTTCCGGTACCGGGGAAAAACCAAAAAAAAAAAAAAAAAAAAACAACAACAACAACAAAAAAAAAAAAAAAAAAAATCAAGTGAGATGAACAAAATATCTACCAACCAACCTTGAAAACAATGCTTCTTTTACACTATTATGTTTTGGATGATTATTATGCAGCAATAGGTAAATAACATACTAGGAAATCTTCAAAAGAAGAACAAACAACAATGCTAAGTCTCAACCTAAGAGATTTGTATTTAATTTTATTGGGTGGGTCCCTGAAATAGTTATTTTAAAAACACTTGTCAGGATTGGAAACTACTGACATATATATTTTAAACCCCTACTTACCTTTTCTAAAATTCATTACCATCAACAACATCATTATTATCACTTAAATACTTTGTATTTCCTTCTATACTTCCTGTAAAGTGTAAAAGCTTCATGTAAATAGTGTACAAGTATATCTGTATGTATAAAACTTATTATTCTGCTATTACATAGGACAAAACCAAAGATAAGTGATCTTTCCAAGATCACTGAATTAGCATGGAGTAGGTCATTTGACTATACATCACAAACTTCTTTCACTTACTTTACTTTTTATAGCAGTTTTAAGTAAAAAAAAAATTGAGCAAAATATAGCAAAATTGAGCAGATGGACAGAGATTCCCTATACGTGTCTTGTCTTCACATATGTTGCCCTTGTTACCAACATCCCCTGCCAAAGTGGTATATTTGTTATGGCTGATGAACCTACATTGACACGTCATCAGCCAGAGCCCACAGTTGATATTAGGGTTCAGTCTTGGTGTTGATGTTCTATGGGATGGACAGATACGTAATGATATATGGCCACAATTATAGTGTCACTCAGGGTCGTTTCATTACCTCAAAAATCCACTGTGGTCTGTCCATTCATTCCTCTGTCCCCTCTACAGCCTGCCTACATTGTTTTTCTTTTTTTATTATAGTTTTTCCCTTTCCTAAAAGTCATAAAGTTTTAATCCTATAGTATAAAGCATTTTCAGATTAGATTTTTTTCACTTAGTAATATGCATTCAGGTACCCTCCATATCTTTTTATGGCTTGGTAACTTACTTGTTTCAACTAACGTGCCAGTGTCCTATCTATCTTACTTTCTTTATCTACTTGCTACTGGAGGGCATCTTGGTTGCTTTCAAGTTTTAGTGATTATGAACAAGGCTGCTATAAATATACATGTGCAGGTTTTTGTGTAGACATTAAGTTTTAAATTTTTCAGGTAAATAAATAGCAAGGAGCATAGTAACTGGAACATATGATAACAGTCTGTTTAGATTTTTAAGAAATTGCCAAACTGTCTTCCAAAGTGGCTGTGCCATGTTGCATTCTCAACAGCAATGGAAGAGAACTAATGCTCCATATCCTCACCAGCACTCCATATCATAGGTTTGTATTCCAGATTTTGGCCATTATTAAAGGTGTAGGTGACATCACTTTCTGATCACTGGGACAAAATCCCCAGCACCCACACTTTATAGGAAGGGAGCTTTATTCTAGCTCACAAATTTTAGAGAATTTAGTCTATGGTTGGTTGGCTCCAAGGTAAAAAACTGCATGGTACAGAGGTAGAGTGGAGGAATGATAATCCATGACAGCCAAGAATCAGAGAAGGAGGGAAGGAGTTGTGCACAAAAATGTGCTCTAGGTCCAGCTCCAGTGACCCACCTCGTTTCCACTTCCTAACAGCACATTCAGCCATGAATGTGGCTTCACATCAATGGGTTAATCAATGGATTAATCCACTAATGAGAATCGTGCCCCCAGGATACAACCACCTTCCAAAATCCCACCTCTCACTACATGAGATTTTGGGGAGACATTTTAAATCTAAACTATAATATCTCATTTTGTTTTAATTTGAATTTCCCTGGTGATATATGATGTGAGACATTTTGTCATATTCTTACTTTCCATTCATTAACCTTTAGTGAGGTATCTTTTAAGGTTGTCAGCCTATTTTAAAATCAGTCTAATTGTGTTTTTACTGATGAATTTTAAGAGATTTTTCTCTCTGTGTTTTGGAGTACAGTACTTTATCTGATTCATCATCGGTAAATATTTTCCTTCATGTGTTTATCTTTTCATTCTCCTTTCACAGAAGAGAAGTATTTAATTTTAATGAATTCCAATTTATCAATTCTTTTTAAAATGGATCATACCTTGGGTGTTGCATTTAAACAGCAATTGACAAATGCAAGATCATCCAGGGTTTCTCTTATGTTATCTATGAGGAGTTTTATAGTTTTGCATTTTACATTTTAGTCATGATCCATTTTGAGTGAATAGTTATGGAAGGTGTAAAGTCATTGACTAAATTCATTTTCTTCTGCATGTGGATGTCCAAATTTCCTCATAGTTATTGGAAAGAGTATCTATTCTCCGCTGTATTCCTTTGCTCCTTTGTCAGTGACCAAGTGACTGAATTTATTTGTATCTGTTTCTGAACTCTCTTTTCTGTCTCAATGATCTTTTTTCTTTTCTTTTAACAAAATGAAACTGTGCTGATTACTGTAGTTTTGTGGTAATTATTGAAGTTGGGTATTGTCAGTTCTCAAACTTTGCTTTGCAATACCATTTTGCGTCTTTTGCCTCTGCATGTAAATGTGAGTACAGTTTGTTGCTATATAGGCAAAATAATATGCTGAGGTTTTGATTAAGACTGTGCTGAATGTAAATAATAATAAATAAATCAAATTGGGGAGAACTAACATCTTCAAAATGCTAAATCCTCTTATTCATGAACATGATATATTTCTCTATTTATTTAGTTTTTCTTTGATTTCTCTCAGCATAGTTTTACAGTTTTCCTCATATAGATCTTTTGTTATATTTTGTTATATTTATACCTAAGTATTAATATTTTGTTATATTTTGTTACATTTTTTGTTATATTTATACCTAAGTATTAATTATTTTGTTATTTATTTATTTTTTTTTTTTTGGTTTTTTGGTTTTTCTCTGGTACCGGGAACCGAACTCACGACCTTGCACTTGCCAGGCAGGTATTTTGTTATATTTTGAACAAGGCTGCTATAAATACATATTTATGTATTTTGTTATATTTTGTATATTTATACCTAAGTATTAATTATTGGGTTATAACATATTTTGCTATATTTATACCTAAATATTTATAACATAACATATTTTGTTATATTTATACCTAAGTATTAATTATTGGATGACTATATAAATGGTATTGTTTCATATTTCAAGTTTCACCTGTTTATTGTTAGTATATAAGAATGCAATTCACTTTTTAAACAATGCAATTCACTTTTTAAACAATGCAATCCTATTATAAGTACTTATTAGTTTCAAAAAGTTTTTTTTTGGATGGCTCTTGCATTTTCTACATATAAAATTGTATCACTACAATTGAAGGCAGTTTTATTTTTGCCTTCTCAGTATATGTATTTCTTTTTCTTGTCTTACATTAGTGAGGATTTCCAGTATTACACTGAAAAGTAGAGGTAAGAAAGGACGTCATTACTTTTTTCCTGACCTCAGTAGGAAAGATTGGCATTACTAACCATTTAGGTATGAAATTAGTTGTAACTTTTTATCAATATTTTTTATTCACTCAAGGAAGTTCCTTTGTATTCCTAGTTTTCTGAATTTTTATCATGAATGGGTGCTGAGCTTTATGACTTTAGTTAAATGGCTTTGCTACATCTATTGATATGATTGTGTAATTTTAAAAAACCTGTTGATATGATGATTACATCATTTCCAAATGTTGAACCAGTCTTGTGTACCTGGAAGAAATCCTATTTGGTCATGATTATAATCGTGTTTTCCCATTGTAGGTTTTGAGCTGCTGATATTTTGATGCTCTTCACATTTATATTTATGAGAGTATTTATTGGTTTGTAGGGTTTTTTTCTGTTAATGTCTTTGTTTGGTCTTAAATGCTAACCTCATAGAATGAATTGGGGAGTGTTCCCTCTGTTCTGTCTTAGCTTCTTTCATATCAGGGATATAATAGTGAGGGAAATAGGAGCTGAGATGCAGTTCTACATTTAATGCAAGTGACATACATGCAGACGACATTGTAAATAATCATAGCTTAGTTTTGAGGCAAGGACTTGAGACCTTCTTTAAGAAACTTCAACCCCTAATGGCAGTACCACCTACAGACCCAGGTAAGAGGAGTGCTAAGTAAGTTTTAGAGGACTCATGGGGTAAAGAGTCAGTGGACTTAGATGATGTGCCCACCTAGATCCCACACTATCCCTTTTAGAACATGCTCCAGTTATGCAGGATCACAAAGTCTGCTGGTGAAATGGTCCTGATTTGATTTCAGAGAACTGCACTGGTTTTTCCTGGTATCTGTTCTCTCAGAGTCTGACCTCTACACTAGCTTATTCAACCCTAAGCCTGAGTGATGACCAATGTATGGCTGTTTGTGTGGATAAGAGACTGCGATTTTGCATGGGCAGACTGGGTACCTGCACATAAATATACAAGGTCTGTTATGGTGCAGGAAACATCTGATCATAGGAAGAGAAGGAAATAGAAGAGAAGATAAGGAGAAGCTCTGCCCGTACTGCTGTCTTCTAGCACAGAAGTCCTATGAGTGTAAGACTTCTAGATTTGCAACCTGGTTTTCTAGGTCTTAATTGTTACATATTTGTCAAAATAGAAACAACATATTTTATTTAACAATGCTTAGCTTTGCACATACCTAAACCTCCCTTTGGACTTGTATGAAGACCCCTGTAAATGATAAAGGCAGATACTCATGAAAGCCTTCAGAGGAGATTAGCACAGATAAGAATAAAAAAAGCAACTTTGAAATGTGAACATGCATATGAAACAAGGCCACTTAATTTTTTTCCTTCTTTATTAACCCATCCCGACAAGTACCTGAGTTTAATTCATGAAGTAGTACATTGGCCAAGAACAAAATACCTGTATCTCCTTTGCTCAAGGGCTCGACTCTTTCATTTTCTGCACAAGCATTCAGAGCTTTTCTTTTGCAGTCTCTCCCTCACCTCCAATTCACTCATCTCTTCTAAGTCAAATGTGCCCTGAAGCTGCTGGGTTAGGGATTGGTGCAGTTCTGTTCTGTCTCGGCTCTTCTTCCTTTGTTGCTGGATGACGGACAGGCGCAGTGACTAACCCTTTTTGTCCAGAGGAGTGTTTTAAAATAGACTCTTTCTTGCTTTGGTCTTTCTTTTCCAGAAAGTCTCATTCTTGGCTGAATGGTCTTCCATATCAGTGGACTGCAGGCCACACGGCTCTCTTATGACCTCCACAGGGTTTATGCTCCACTGTGGAAATGCTCCTGCTACAGATTGTGTGCAGTAGGGCTCCTCAGGGTTAGAGTCCAGAGTCTGTGATGGTGCCAGCACTGCGGACATCCTTTGCCATGTTTCCACTTTGGGGCAAAGGGCACATGGAGAGGAAGAAGCGGGCAGCTCTGTGTTTCCTGTAGGGGGCTCAGTACCTGCCTGTGGGCCTTGCCCAAACTCAGAGCCTTGCTGGAGATTTACCTTCTCTCCTCTCACTCTGTCCATCACTTCCCAAACCACTTGGTCCAAACTGTTCCTCTTGGGGGTGTTGTGGGATGGTGACAGCTGGTCTCGGGAACCTGTGTACAGGCACATTTTGGAGATGGCTTTCCGCAGGCGCTCCCTCGGTGAGTGGGGTTCAGGCTCTGGGGCCAAAATCCTGATGGATGGCACATCGGTTGGGTCGCAGTTCCAGAACATGTGGGATGGTGTGAACTTTTGAACAGGTGTCTTGGACACATAGGAGTAGAGACAGAAGAAGGCATCCGCAGTAGCAGCCAGTGTTTGCACCTGCTTAAACCTGCCTGGGGACAAAGTTTGCAGATAGTGATTTGGGAGCTCATCAGCAAATTATCGCTCAAATCTCTCACTTCAAAAGCCTTCCCAAAGCTCAGAATTTCAGAGGAAAGCTGCCAGTTCTCCCACTAGTACTTCTTCCATTTAGATTTCTGACACTCAGGGTTCTCTTTCTTGGCTTCTCAACCCTATCATCCCGGGTAGGACAGAAAATAGGTAAAGATTTAAAGGCATTATCATGATTTGAGTCAGGCAAGGAGAGAAGGCCTAAAGGAAGCAATAGTGGCTTGAGGTCTCTTGAGGGCTGTTTCCTCGAGGGAAAGAAGATTCCAAAGTAAATAGAAGATACAAAGGGTCCACTGAAGCTAACCAAGGGAAGTAGGATTTGGAGCCACTGGAAAAGTAGGACTTGGAGCCACCAAGCCTTGGTGTGAATGACTGGAGGCTGAGGTAGAGGTGGAGCGTGGGTCTGTGGTAATACTCACTGGCCAGCATGAGGCAGGGGTCCTCCATCTCGATCCTCCGCACCTGTGCCTTTAAGAAGAGCTGGAAATCAATGCCCTTGGCCTGAGAGGGGTTGGTGAAAAATCTTGCGGGGATCCGAGTAGTGTCTTTGTGGTCCTCTTGGCCAAAGCCTAGACTGAAGAGGACATCTTCTGCATCCTCTTGCACCTGGTCTAGAATCTCTGAAATGCTGAAGAAAGGGAGCATGGGTAACTGGGGCAACAACTTTGAGATGCATGTAATCTGGGATATCTAATAAAAGTATCAGGAGACTGAAGTTTTTTTCTGGCCAGTTTTCTCCCTTCCACTGTGACTGTGGGAAAAGTTTTGACTACTCTGAACCTAAATTCTCTGTCTGAGGCACAGAAATTATGACCCAGTTTAGGTTATAAAAACTAAATAAAGGGCTGGGGATTTAGCTCAGTGGTGCAGTGCCCCCCTGGCAAGAGTGAGATCCTAAGTTCAATTTCTGGCAAAAGAAACAAAAACAAACAAAACAAAACCCAATTAAAAAACTTAAATGAAATCTTAGCAAAAATTTGTAAATAATCTACTACAGATGAAAAGAAATTTAAGTAAGTATTAAATCATTTAAAAATGAAAAACAACATAGATGCAAAGAGATTCTGTGGTTGCATTATTCCCACTGGTACCTGCTGTGATACATTTGGCTTTAGTCAAATGCTTTGCAACCTGCCTCTTAGTGTACCCTATTCTGTAGTTGTCTGGGGGTACTTAGGCAATGAGTGTGTAAGAAACAGGGTCTTAATTTTATTTAGAGCCTGCGGGTAAAAATTAATCAATAGGTACTTTCAGAAGCTAATTTTGAGAGCCATACCTCTCTTAAGCACTATTTTCCTGCAAAAAAAATCTAACTCAGTGAAGATAAATCACTAAATAAGCACATAATAAAATTATGTCCCAGAACCAGGACTCAAACTCAGTTTTACTCTAACTTCTCAACACTTTTCATTGTACCGCACTAATAATTTTCATCATTTCCCACTTTGTTTTAGATTTTTGTGTGTGTAACTCTTGCCCACCCTATGGAATTGCTGATTTCCTGGTGGTAAGACTTTTGTCTGATTCAGCCTTCAAAATTCCATAAAGCTTCTGCCTGGCTGTATTGATTAATATTTTATTGCTTCATTAAGTAAAAATTAGTTTATTAATCACTGCATTATTTATCGAGTAACTAGTATGAGTCTCAGACTGTGTTGGTATCATTACTATACTTCCTGGTGCACAGGGCTCAGTGGAAGAGATACCTGCAGTATCCAGTTTGGAGGAAAGCCTCCTGCATCCCCCACTACTCCTGAAGCAAATATGGTCCTATATTTCCAATGTGCATGGAAAGCACATACAAGCCTCAGTAAGATGGCTCGGAAAAAACAGGCAATAACCCCTCATTCCATTCTCTTTTGCCTCTCATCTCTCCCCTCCCAGGTCTATGAAATTTAGCACCTACCTTGAACTAGTCTTGTTGGTTCCACCAGTCATGCAGCTGGAAGCCAAACTACAGCCAAGATCAAGTAGCTGGCAAGGCTTGGATGTCTGGAGGAAACTCCTGTGGAGATAAAAGCTGATGTCATAAACTCTTGTTGCCAGTCTGCATGTGGCTTCCCTCTGAAGAATATCTTAGAACCAGCCACCCGTGGAGGAAACTGTCTATACCTATATTACTGATTAGAAAATCTCTCTATCATGAATTTTTGTGGTACTGGAGACTGGACTCAGGGCCTGGGCAATGAGCCACATCCTCAGCCTTTTTTTATTTTGAAACAGGGTCTCGATGAGTCCCTAAGTTGCCCAGGCTAATCTTGAACTTACAGTCCTTCTACCTCAGCTTTCCAGAGTGCTGGCATTAAAGGCAGTGCCAGGATTACAATGCCCCACTACACCAGGCTTTAGGTCTTTGTTTTTAACCTCTAGTACCTACCCCAGTTCACTGATTTTGAAGAAGGTATCATTCAGCCTGGTTGAACCTGACACTTACCTGGAGAAGAGTTTGTCATTAGCGGCCAGCAGTGTGGCTGGACAAGGAATAGAAGGGAAAAGAGCAAGTTAGAAGGGAAAATGCAGATCACTGATTTGCTCCTCTGAGCTTAAAAAAAATCCCTCTGTTTCCCGACGTCATTTTGAGAGGACAGCTGAAGCCCAGGAATTCATCTTTTGATTGGGAAGACCCACAGCATGGGAAGTGGGACAAATAAGGCAGGAAACACTTGGCCTGGAGCTGCTGAACTTCAGACTCATGATTAATGTGTAGGCAAGAGCCCCTCTTTCAGGGGGAGCATCATTCAGCTTGACACTTCTGTTCCTGCCCTACCACATGTGTCTCTACAAGACCCAGAAGATATCGCGGTGGCTATGCCTTCACCCTTTATGCAAGCCCTTGTCCTCTTGCAGTGCAATCTCTTAAAACTACGACTCAGGCTTTTGTGTGCTTCCTATGGAGAAAACAGTCTCAGTGATAGCTGGCCATCAAATGATATGGGAATTTTATGTTTTCTTCCCAGGGGCCAAAGGGCAGTTCCAGTAATGGGCCAGCAGGCATCATGATTAGCTGGTGAGGATGTGTTTCTACATGTGTAATGCTTTCTGTCTTTGCATGAGACAATAAAGAGGTGATCTTTCCCTACAGAGATACTCCAGAGAGAGGCCACTTCTTTCTAAAGTTCTGCTTTCTATCCTATCCTTAAAATTTGTCTAATATATAGCCTCTTCTTTGATGACAGCCTCAGAGCTGTGACACTCACCCTCTGCTCCAAGCATCAAGTCATCTTCAAAACTGGTTCCATGGCTGGAGAACCCTGTCAAGTAATCAGGAGAAGGTCACCAAAAATCAGTCTGAAATGTGCACACATGTACACACAAATACAAAACTGCAAACTTGAACATCTACATATCTTCTTAGACTGGTACAATCATACTGTGTATCCACATGCTTGCAAACTATCTCCTGCTTTATGTATATTACTGCATGAATCACATTCATGTTTAACCTAGAATCATACATACAGTTACCTATAGCTAAACCTGTGTCCTGTATCATACAATCATGTATGAAATCTCCTGTCAAATAGTAAACACAGAGTGTGTACACTACTACACATAGACATGCACTCTAGAAATGCACACAATTTAGGAAGCTTTTTTCCCCAAGCAGTAGCTGCTAGCTGAGCAACCACCAACAGTACATAGTTTTCAAGCATTAATGAACTTGTGGATTTGAGACAGCATTTCCTTTTGGACCTTATGAACTGCCTTATGACAATTAAAGAGTTCTTAGGTTACTTTAAAGAAAATCAGACATCCTTATACGTGTATACGCCTGCTCACATGCATAATCAAACATACATGCACACAGCTACATCACTGTCCAGGTAGATGAACATCAGAGCAGCACATGTACTTACCATTGTAGATGGGTTGTCTAGATTCCTCAGAAAACCCCTCTTCAGAGTCTCTAAAATCCAAAAATCATGTTACAGGTTGATATCAATGCATTGCCCAGTAGATTGTTCTCAAATATTTCCCACATGTTCATATTATTTTCCACTGGGAGTGAGCAGTACCTAATTTATTTTCATAGTGGAGAAAACTAAGACAGAGTGGTTACTTGATAGGCAAATTCTTAGATGTAATCCTGAGGAGCTGGGGCTGAAATGTATTTTATTTTTGATGATGTTTCCATTCCCCTTGCTTCACTATTTAAAATCAATTTTCCAATGATTTATCATTCTTTAGGTAAAATAGGAAAGACTACAGAACCAAGACTAGGAAAATGCATCTACAGGAAAAAGGGCATTTGGGGCATAATTTCCAAATCATAAACATAAGCATGTATATTCTCTTAAGCTTTTGAAGAGGGTAACTTATCTATTTTCACTTTCCTCTTTTTCTTAGAACCACATTTTTGCTGAATATCACATGTTTCAGGGAACAGTAGAAGCCTGGTTAGAAATACTTTAAGATTTTGAGATATGGTCCTATCAAACATTTACCGTCTCTACCAGAGGAACAAATGGAAACCAGCATAAGTGGTAATGAGAAACAATTCAGTTTTAAGTACAAGGGAGAAATTCTCTCTGTACAAAACAGGTGAATGGAATAATCTGAAGAAAAAGCTTTGAACTGGGACCAGTCCACATGGATTGCAGTCCTGGCTCATTGTTGCTGTATGTTCTAAAATACTATGTAAGAAGATTTAATCTAGATTGTCTCATTATGTACTACTTTAAACATTAAGGCTCTGAGTTTTATAGAATTTACTTTCCTAAAAGTTTTTAAATAGAAGCTATGCATGATGCTTTGAATGTAATCTCAGTCAGAGGCTGGGGCAGAGAACAGTTGGTGGAGTGAATTAGAGGCTGGACTGCAGGTGATCTTAAATGCTACATCTCCCTGTTATCTGCCTTCAGCTGTTCTGATAACTTTCAAGATCTTGGTGTATCACTTTATGGAATGGTTAACAATGGGAATGGATTTATGAACTGAACATCTTTAGATCAAGTTGTACTTAAATTTTACAAAATAAATAATTACATGTATAGATATCTTTTATTAGTATTTTCCTTTCAATAGTAAAAAAAACCATTATTTGCAAAATTTGAATTTTATGTCCTTATGAAAAAACTGTACATCAAGGTACATTATAAAATGTAGAATATTCAAGTTAATTAAGAATGAATAACTGGTAATATAACTAGAAGTAAAAAAATACTTCTTTTCCTTGTATATAATTACACAAACTTATGTTATAATGTAATACTACAAACAAGTTTAAAATATCAATAGAAGTTAATATATACTATGATTGTTATCATAATCTAAGATGGTCATCTACTACTATGATAGTTGATATGGTCATCTAGTGCTACAATACTGGATTTACTTAATACTTGTGTTATTGTTCAGGACAAATTAAACATCAAATATTTACATATATATAATGAATTATCTTGGGGAAGGGACACAAGTCTAAACATAAACTTCATTTATGTGTCTTATGCAGCACAGTCTATATGAATAGCTTAAAGATAGTTTTCTACAGCATTTTTAGTTTGTATTTTAACTGTGACTCATCACATAGATCAAGTGTGACTTTTCCACTTATGGCATCATGTAAGTGCTCAAACAGTTCAGAATTTGGAGCATTTTGGATCTTGAAATTAGTGATGCAAATCCTAAGGTCTGCTATTACCAGAAACTACAACTAAAACACTACTACTTCACTTCTAGGTTGTACCCAATGGAGATGCCTGCATATATTCATCAAAAGAAATTATAGTCATAATAACCCAGAATCTCATTTATTGTAAAATGGGAAAACTGGATGATAGCTATACAGTTTAATACTACATTATAATATAAATAAATGACTGCACACAAATACATAGATGAACATTACAAACAGTAATAAACAAAAGAAAGACAAATAAAAAATAATGTTATGATTCTGTTTTATATAAAGTTCAAATAAAAATCCCCAAACTTATCTATAATGTTATAAGTTAATTTAGTGGTTACTTTTGGAGGCAGGTAGTGAGTGGAAGAGGACAGGAAAAAGACTTTTGCAGTGCTAGTAATGTTCTACTTTAGATTTCTTTGTTGCACTCCCTTTGTGAAAAAGTTCATCAAGCTATATATTTAATACTCATTTGCTTTTTCAGTTAGTGCATTATACCACAATATCATTTATGTTAAAAATAAAAATGCTGAGAGGGGGCAAGATGGTGGAGTGCTAAGAAACAGAGAAAGAACCTCTCTGAGTGCTGCCACCCAAATGCTAGAATATAACAACTTGGGGAAGATAAGAAGGAGGGAGACGAGTCCCTCTGGACCCAGGAAGGAACAGAGAGGGTGATGAGAGACACTTCAATGAAGAAGGAGGTACCCCATGGTATCTTCTCCTGGAGATGGAAACACTGCATGAGAGGAGTGGTCCAAACCTACCAATACACGGTGAGTGCTGAGGACCCCAGAGACCTTTGTGGAGAGATGCAGCAGTGGAGGGGAACAGCAGATGTGAGAGACTGCATGAGCTGCTGTGAAGGATTGCATTAGCTTCTGGCGAGTGCCAAGGGTTCAGCTATCCCACACAAGAGAGCAATTGGTGGGGGAACCATTTTGGAGAGAGAACAACAGAGCTCAGAACTCAGAGGGCTGCTAGCTACATCTAGTGGCTCCCAGCTGGGCTCAGGCCCTTGGAAGGGGTGCTGATGGATGCAAGTCACCAGAAGGTGCAGGCTCGCTGGCCTCTTGGGATAAATCAATATGGATCAGGATACTGACTCTGTACATTGTTTACCAGTGACAGCAGAGACAAATCTGAAAGTGGATGTTTTTGTTGTTTGTGGGTTTTGTTTACCTTTGTTTTCCTCTTTCTGTCTTGTTTTTTTTGTTTGTACTTTTTACCTCTTTTCTTTCTCCTTCATTGTTTGAACTTGTATTTATAAGAGTGTGAACATGGTGTCTAGGCTCTTTGTGGTTGTGGTTCTGTTCAGTTCCTCTTTTTTATCTCTTCCTCCTCTCCCTCCAATCTTCTGCACCAGTTTCCTCAAGTTAGTGTGATCCCTCTTTGTCCTCCAGCCTTCTAATCTCTTCTTCTTCTTCCATTTCTTTATTTTCTCCTTAACCCATGTTAAATTTTAACCCCGGAGGGCAAAATTGACATACTAAGCTTGTATACTACATACAATTTTCTGGTTTGTTTTGTTATATAACCACAAATCTAGTTCATATGGTTAAAGGTGGTAAATTAATGGTTACTTTAGTCTGTTATTTTCTAGGCTGTGTTTTATGTTATTGTTATTGGTACCACTATACCCAAAAATGACATAATTGTTCTAAACAGCTGTTACAAGCATCACCCCAGGAATTAAACTAAAAAAAGAAAAAAAGTAAAGAAAATGAGGAGACACTTAAACAAGATGCAAACCAAACATCACCACAGGCAAACCCAGGGGGCAATGAGGTGGGACAATTGAAAACCACCCAGCTGGCCTCTCTGAAGTGGTAACAACAAAGCAATTGAATGAGGCTCTAGAAAAAATCAAATCAAAAATAATCTCTCAGATAACTGCAGAGATGGTGTCCATAATGAAAAACATGCTTAAATTCTAGAGTGGATACAGAGAAAAAAAAAGAGAAGCTTAAGAAAATTATGGAAGCCATGAATGCTCAGCATAAGAATGAAATGGAATCCATAAGGCATATTCAAGCAGATATCCAGGATAATAAAAATCCTACTGAAAGTATTTGCAGCAGATTAAGTCAATTGGAGGACAGGATCTCAGATATAGAAAATAGGCTTGCAACTAACAATCATGAATAGAAAGATTTTTTAAACATAGCAAGAGACCACAAAAAATCAGTATAACAGCAGCTAGATGATGCAAAGGAGAATTTAAGATTAATTGGAGCCAAGAAAAAAGCAGGATATAGCACAAATGATATAAAAATCTGTTCACAGACGTCATGGCAGAAAACTTCCCCAGTAGAGAAAAAGAATTTGACATACAGAAAAGTGAGGCATATAGAACTCCAATTGGCCAAGACAAAAATAATCTATAGATTCCAGAAATTCAACACAAGAATAGAATATTAAAAGCTGTTTGGAAAAAGAAATGAATCACCTATAAAAGAAAGCCCATCAGAATCACAGCTGTTATCTCATACTCTGAGTAACTAATTTAAAGATAACAATATGAAATGTATTAACCATTGTTACCTTCCTACCATATTGTGTTGGGATTTTGTTTTTTGTTTGTTTTTCTTTAAAATAAAAATTTAAAAAGTGCTATTGATATGTACAAAGGAAACCTCATTGCTATTCACAAGATTCAAGTTTTTGTCAAGTGTTCATCTTACAGTTAGTTCTCTTCTCAAGTTGTACTCCTGCAAGAATTTTATAATTTTATAATTTTCTTTTTGAGGGCAAGCTCAGGATTTCCTGTGCATATGTGGGCTCTGCCCTAGCAGTATGACATAGGCTGGGTCTGCTGATATCTTCTCACTGAACATGATGATTTGAAACTCTGTGGCTGTCATGTAAGTCCCAAGAATTTTAAGGGCTATTGTACAGACTATAAGATCAATGAGCCAGACGACATTTATAGTTGCTCCCTTTTTATCTGTGCTTCCACTGAAAGGTCCTTTAGCACAATTTCAAGTCTGAAATAGAAGAGCTGAGGTACTGTTTCTCTTGTATATCTAATTCATAAACAAATAGTTGGGGAGGAGAGTTGTATTGTGAGATGAGGCATGTGACTTCCACCAGTTTCCATAGATGCCTATTTGCACACGATTTAAGTTGAAAGCCACTTAGGTAATATTTGGTCTCTGAATTCTACCTGTGATGATTCCTCAGTAACATGTTCATGTTCCAGGAAGCTTAAGAAAAGAAAGGAGAAAGGAGAGGAATAGTTTATAAAGACATAGCAGAATGGACTGCCACTGGACTCAGTTGCACCAACAGACATTAACACTCAATTGCTCAGAAAGGCAGTGAACTTTCTTGAAGAGCTTGTTAAGAAAGAAAACTCTAGGGGATGGGGATTTAGCTCAGTGGCAAAGCGCCTGCCTGGCAAGCGCAAGGTCGTGAGTTCGGTTCCCAGTACCGGAGAAAAACCAAAAAAAGACAAAAAAAAAAAAAAAAGAAAGAAAACTCTAATGGAGGGTGTTTGGCATTGGAAAGAAAATGGAAGCTTCATGGTCTTTAAACCAAAGTTGAAAAGTGCCTCCCAGGGCACTGGCAATATTGTGACCAGATAACCAGTCAAATGGGATTTTTTTTGTCTTCTTTCCTCTATGATCCTGACAGACCCAGAATTAAAGACTGTGTTAAGTCAGAATGTCATAATTAGACTGTGCTTTTCCTCTACCCTCTTCATTATCTTTTATCAAAAGTCAAGTGTTCTCTCATTATCACGAATCAGCATCATCATCATTCAATTTCCACACAACTAAAAAGTCTATCATGTGCCGCCTAGTGGCCTAGATATATTCCAGGAAATATGTCATTGGATGATTTCATTGCTGATTCTCAGAGTGCAACTGCACAAACTAGGGGAGCTACAACATCACTAGCTGATGCAATCTTAGCAGACCACCACTGCAGAGGCAGCTTGTCATTGGCTGCATACTTCAGTACACAGAGCATAAATATATTACATAATTATTAGAGAGAATTAGAACACAGGAGAAATTGGAAACATTTTCCAAATTTAGTAGTTGCTCTCCCAGCAATGAATGTAAGTATGTTAATACATTTTCTTATAAACTTTTTGAAGTTTAAATATTGAAGGTTTTCAAAACACAGACGGGTAAAGAACAGTGACAGTACCTTTGTACCTGCCATCCTATTTTTACACATGGAAATATTTTGTCATAGTTGCTTCAGAAAGAAATAAAAGATTAACATAGAATAGAAAACAACAAAATAAATAAAATATTAAACATATATCAACAGTCTCCTTTGGCTACTACTTTTTCTACCCATTTTCTTCCTAGCAGTTATCACTACCCAAAAGTTGATGTTTCATCTCTGGATATGTTTTTTCAAGTTTTTTCAAGATAGCAAGACAGTTAACTCACTGGATAGAGGGATTTATTTTGTAAAACTGTATGTTAAAAAGCTTTTAAATAGCACTACTCATACACCATTATAGAGCAAGAAACACTTAGACAAATATCACCTCATTTAAATCTCATATGAAACTTTGACACGATTATTCTAATCTCTTATTTTACAGGCAAGGAGTCTGCTGTGGAAGGAATTTCAGTTATTTGCTTATGAGTCGCCACACAGGTAGTAACAGAAGAATTATGCTCAAATCCTGGAGCCTTCTCACCCATCACAACACTTTTTCATCTAAAGTTTTGGTTCTGGGTTTGTCTTTGTAGAGCATGACTGAGGTAACATGAGTTCTAGAGCTTACAATCTTGTATTTCTGTGAATTTAAAATAGAAGGTGGTATATTTGGAAATCAAGGAGTTCACTTTAAAATACCTGGCACCCTTTCTGGCCATTTAGGCCATCAAACATTTTGAAAATGCACAATAAATAATTATTGATGTGAATTGACAAGACTCAGGAGTAATTAAAGTAAAGATGCTAACGGAGCCCAGAGTTTTTTCCACACACATGTGCAGCACTTTGAAACCCAGGACAGTTCTCATCCCAGGCTCCTCACCCAAACCTGCAAACTGCTTGTTACCATCATCTTTTTTCTTCAGGTGATCTGAAGACCCCTCAGTGGCTTTGAAGCCAATGAATTGCAGATTAGATTGGGACAATAAGGACAATATGTTTTGCAGACAATGAAAACAAACACAAAGTAAATCCTTCATGGCACTGTCTTCCCAGGCAGAGTTAAAATAAAAAACCTTAGACTATTCAGTGCTACTAATTCCTACCCCAGGATGAGTTTATTTATGTCAGCTAATAAGTGAGTTTAGATTAAAGTCTAGATAAAGCTTAAGACATTCTTGGAGGGAAAACAAAGAGCAGGAAGGTGTTATACACTCAGAAATCATTCTTTTTTCCTTTCTTTCTTCTTTTTTTTGGGGGGGGGTCTTTCTGAGACAGGGTCTATCTATGCAGTTCAGGCTGGCCTTGAGCTCACTTTGTAGCCCAGGCTGGTCTCAAACTCACAACGATCCTCCTGCCTCAGCCTCCCGAGTGCTGGGATTACAGGTGTGCGCCCATGCCCGGCCCTCAGAAATCATTCTTACAGAAAGTCAAGCTTAACTGGGTCACAGAGGTTTTCCTTTATGTCTGAGGAGACCAAGTCTAAAATGATAGACTGATGGGCTGCAAGTTCTCCTATTTTAGTGTTTCTTTTTTTTTTTCTTTTTTCTGGTACTGGGAATCAAACTTATGACCTTGTGCTTGCCAGGCAGGTGCTGTGCCGCTGAGCTAAATCCCCAGCCCCTAGTTTAGTGTTTCTGAGCAGCGATGATATCTTTTGAATTGCAGATTGCCTGGGTCAGCCCTGAGCCCTTCCCATGCATTCTGCAGTAGAAACAGCACAGGGGTGAACTTCCGGTCCAGAAAAGTGACCTGCTTTCTCACTTTTCCTCTTTTGTCATACAGTGCGAGACATGTCAGTGGGAAGGGAAAAGCAGCACAGTAGGGATTTGAAACTGAGTGTCCCCACTCCACTCTGTCTTCTCAGCCTTCCAGCTGAACCTAGTCCCTGTCCAGAGTTGGAGAATCACAGCCTGGGTCACCAACTGACCCCAGTCCCTTCAACTCCCCTTCCAATCACGACTTCGATCTTATTTCTTCAGACCCAGTTCAAACCCGTTTTCCTACCTCTGAGTTCTCTGCCTGTTAGTACATCCAGCCATCACTCATGTCTAGCCCCATGGTTTGCCCAAACTCACCTGCAGTCCTGAAGCCAGTTTTCAATCTTGTTGATTGGATTTCCTAGAGAAGTCAGATAGCAGATCATTGTGAGAATGGAAGGAAACCAGACCTCTGCCCTGCCACTCCCGCCTTACCCCAGTCCACAACTTTATCCTTATGCGAGCCACATTATGATCTCTTCCCAAACCTTTTCTGTAAGACGTGAGTAAAATAAAACCATATATAAAGATTAGGGGTTCTGTCTTCCCTCTGTCTCTCTTCTCCTTGGGAACCTAAAAAAAATGCCCAAGATGTCAGACCTATTGCTTTCTTTCCCTCAAGTTTTGGGTACAGGGATGTCTCCTTTTCAAAATGAAACAAAACACAGCAAAGGCACAACTGTGTACCTTTAATGTCCTATCAAATAAGTTAGGATGGGTTTATTTCTGTCACAATTCTTGTCTTACTCCCATGCCTGCAGACTCAGGCAAACCTCTGAGAAGTGTGTGGGAAAGTGCCCACTGCTTCTCTTGGACACGTACAGCTTAGACAAATGACTTTCCACAGGTCACACAGCTTGTTAGTAACAGTGCAATGTCCAGAGTCCAGGGGCAGCCTGAGTGTAGTGTTGTACGAAAACAAAGTAGAAATCTCCCAAAGCATTCATCCACAGACAACCCCTAGGCCCAGTTTATTACAGAAGATTGTCTGGATGATGTAAAAATGTCCCTCTCTTTTTCCTAATCTTAAACTTGCTTCTTTCTCACACAGTTCATATTTGTATTACTTTATACCTCTTCTTTTACATTCCTTTAAACCAGACAAAAGGAGCCTTCCTGAGATCCTAGTCCGAACAAAGGGCCTGCATGTCCACCATCTGCAGACCTGTGCTTGTTGTTACATTCTCCCTAGTGGAAGTCTGGTGATGTCAGCAGCCTCTTACCTTCATGGAAAACATCATCTAGGCTTGAAGGCTCAGGGTCTGGGACATCCTGCAGGGCGGCTGCAGCTTCCTCTTCCAGGACCTGCGTCTGCCAGTTACGGCTCTGACGGAGCCAAGCTTGCCGCTTCTCCCAGGAGGTGGGGCTCAGCACAGAGGCCTCCATGGTCCCGGTTCACACGTCAGGATCTCCCACCACCTTAATGATGTCCTGGGAGTTGAAGCACAGTGATCCTTCCTCAGCTTCTGTTCAGAAACCACCGCTGTCAAGGTTGCCTCAGTTCTTCCCACTTCTGCTAAAAGCTGCCTCATTTCTCCATCTAGTGAGGAAGGAGGAGATACCTGGCCCTTCTTCTATCCCCCTTCCCTTCAGAAGTGAGTGCTCTGAAAATATCTAAATACTAGAACAAGTCTTTTTGATCAGTAAGTTTGAAAATTTCAAATTGTACAGGATTTGAGTAACACTGAGAAAGCCTTTGTGATTTAGGGTTAGTGTTACCTCTACTTCTTATGGTAGGTGAAATGGTGGAGGGGAAAGAAAGGGAAGGGAAGATAAAAGAAGATAAAAAAGGAATCAAAATATTTATGAACATTACCAACTCCTCAAGAGAAATGTAATCATTATGCACTACACCCCCATACTAATAAGCTAAACTAAACTGTAAATAAATAAAACCTTGTCTTCAAAAAAAGTTTTCTTTGATCCTTATGGATTTTTGACTCTCGGAGTCTTCCATCAAAACTAAAATATCTTTTAATTTACCACTTATAAAGTTCACTTTCTGTCTCGATTTGTTTTGTTTCCTGTTTGATATATTAAGGGTCCACAGGATTTTTCTCAGGAAAGAAAAGAAATCCTCTGAAAGAAACAAGGAAACAGTGCCTCAAAGCAATGAGTAGACAGCTCATTAGGATGATTGCGTTCTAATTTGTACATTTGCATTTCTACGTAGCTCTGAGATTCTTATCCTGTTTATCAATGCAGTTATTGATCTATATACTGACGTTTCATTCAACACTATCTGATTAACAATTCTATATATTTTAAAAAATACATAACAATGGCTCTATGCACAGATTCAAAAACGAAGAGAGCGGGGAAGACTCATTCAGTTGCCCAGATGGGGCTTAGGGAGATCGGAGGGGATGTGTTCTTTCTCCTGCTGCCTCTTCCTTTCCAGCGGGGCACACGGCCCACCACAGTGAATAAGCACATGCGGGACCAGGACTTTTGCTGCTTTCCCCTTCGTATTAGTCAACATTTTGCGGCTGACATAAACAGTTTAGAACAGGAAAAGTGATTTGGCCTCACGGTTTCATCATCAGTGGCTCCACTGCTGTTAGGCATGTGCTGTGGCCGAATCACGGTACAAGGGAGTGGTGGAGGAAAGCTGCTCACCTCATGGCAGCTGGGAAGCAGACAGTGCAGGAAAAGAATCAGAGAGGAAGGGGCTGGAGGACAGATCTACCTTTCGGAGACCTGTGCCTGGGGATCTACTTCCTGTACCTGGGCCCCGCCTCCTAATAGACCGGCTACCAGCTCATCAACGACCTGATCCATTGATCTCGGGTATTAACCCTAATACCTGAGACTTTGGGAGACACTTCATATTTAAACTATGACATCCTCTATTTCCTTGAGCAACCATAAATGACTTCATCTTCAGAACTATACTTTTAATTGTTGGAGTTCTCTAAAATAAAAGGAAACAATAAGAAGAGAGCTAGTTTCCGGAGACTTCCCTTCTTCCAAGACTTAAAAACAAAATCATTAGTGAGGCATTTAACAAGTGAGGTGCTAGAAGGCTATTTTTGAAAAGAACATCTTGAACATAAAATGTTTTTCTAGGGCAATAAAGTTGTTTTAGCTGCCTCTGCTTGCTACAGGCAGAACATATCCAGAGAAAAAGAACACATAATTACCACTGCCTGATATGGATCCTTTAAACTTTCTTGTTTTTTTTTTTTTTGTAGTGGGAATCAAACTCAGGACCTTGCACTTGCCAGGTAGGCACTGTGCCACTGAGCTGTATCCTTGGCCCTGGATTCTTTCATTTCAGGATTTCAGGTCCAAGACATCTTTTCTCTCAGGTGTGATGGCATCACAGTGAGACTTTGTGTTCACTCCAGGCAACTGGATTTTGTGCCTCTTAGGGGACACTGAATTAAACTTGTGCTATACGGAAGCCACCAAGGGGGTAGTGGGGATGATTAATGGTTTTTTTGTTTTGTTTTGTTTTCTGGTACCGGGAATCGAACTCATGACCTTGCGCTTGCCAGGCAGGTGCTGTGCTGCTGAGCTAAATCCCCAGCCCCTGACTGATGGTTAAGGATAAAGGATAAAGAGAGGATGGAGCTGCTATCAGAAAGGGTTCATAAAGAAAGTCTGAAAAGCGTTAATTAGAGTGTGCTTTCCTTGTCCTCCTTTCACAACATTTAATAAATGGGTCCCTCTTGGCCCCAGAGAAGGAAATTTCAAAGGCTGACTTGCCTGTTGCTTTTAATTCCCAAAGGAAATGGGCCTCATACAAATCACAAGAAGATTTTTGGTGATTAGGGGAATTTAAGAGGAAGGCATGAGGTCAGGAATGGAGGATGACAGGAAGGCAAAAAGGAAGAAAAGAAAGGAGGAAAGAAGGAGAAAAGAAGAAAGGAAGAGAGAGGAATAAATGACATACGTTTCCCTACTCCCTAATGGTGCTCCCTGGAAAATTCAGTCCCTTTCTCTGGTCTCAGGTTTTTGGTGAAGATATCACAGCCCTAAGGTTTGCTATTCCAGCACTATAAACTTCATTTTAGAGCTAAATCTCTATAATGCCTAGCACAGTGCTAGAATCACACTAGTTGAGATGATAGAGAACTTCACCATTGTGATAGGAATCTATTTTACAGCCCTCTTCTTCTCTGAAAATATCTCAGGGTCATATAGTCCCTGAAAGGCCCATTGCGCCTTTCAACCCCCAATTTTCATATATGTTCCCTTCCTTTTTCTTTCCCTTGGTCTTTCATGCACTTGATCTGCAGAGCCCAGCTCTTAACCAGCTTCCTCCATGAAGCCAGGCCTGGCTTCTGTGGACTCTTTAACTGCTTCCACGGAGCGCTTTCCCTGTGGGACTTTTTCTTCTTGGTTACTACCAATATCATACTTCATATTTTATTTACCTATCTCTTTTATTGCTTACCACTAACATACTTTCTAGTTTTTACTTATTTATCTAATCTATTATTTGGTCTTCTGATTAGAATATAAGTTCCAAGAGTAGAGAGATGCTTGTCTGGCTCATTCTCCACTGAGTTTCCAATGCCTAAGACAGAATTTAACACATAGCAGTTGCTTAACAAATACTTACTGTCTAAATGAATACGTATTTTGTAGCTGACTATTTCCCATGGGAATCCAGAGCTGACAGTCATGACAGACACAGGCAGGGAGATCAACTTCAAAATGGTAATGATAAAATTTACCATGTGTTTACTAAACATGTAAAAACGTTTTGGGCTTAAAGGGCAGAAGGTTGTTCTCTGACTTATTCCTAACCTGTGACTTCTGCTGAGATCAGAAACTGTATTTTCCTGGTAATTTTTCTTTTGAGTCTGTTTCTATGTCCTATATACAAGAGCTTGTTAAGCAGAAACACCTAAAAAATTATTCCTGGAACCAGAATCCATATTGCTTAAAGGATTCCAAACAAAAATTCACAAACAAATGGCCATTATAGTTATGACAACAAAAATACTAGGTAGTATAAATGCTTTACTACTCACTGTGAAGGGCGGTCATTTGCTAAGCAATTCAGGTGCGGTGGGATAATTTGTTCCTTGAAAAGGCAACAACTGGTCTCAAGTCTGAGAAAAAAGATGCAAGGTTTTCACAACTTTGATGCACCGGACATGCGATGGGGAATTGAATACATAAACTTTCCCCGATCTCTGCCACACTCTCCAAGGTGTGTTCCATGGAGATGCTATAAGAGCAGCAATATTGGGAAGCAGGGACAAACAGAATGCCTGGCTCATGGTAACAAGAGGAAGCTGTACTTCTGGGAGATAAGAAACAGCAGGAAGTGGCAAGTGACTATCAGACAAACACATCAGTGGTGAACACATTAGGGAAAATTGAAAGATGAGCACACCCAGATTTCAGGATAGAAGCTTTGAAGGTCTGGGGCCCCTTGTAGTAGAGAGAAGGACATGGAGCTGTTTCCTCCAAATAATTTATAAAAAAGCATAATTCTTTAACACAGTGAAAAAGCATTGATTAGGAACAAGGGCAGCACTTAGATAATTTTCCATTGTTTTTGTCTGATTCCTTGACTCCTGGCCAGCCAATTGGTTTTTCCATTTGGATATCGATCAGCTTTATTATCCAGAAAATGAATTGATGAGATCCAGTGTTGTATGAATTTGCCTGCAGGATGAATGTTTATGAACTCATTTTCATAAATTCTAGATGAGCTTGAAATATTTATGGAAATAGAATCTTCAAAATAAAATATATTTATATAATTTTCTCATAGATGTAGAACACGGTCCAGTAACCCAGAGTTATATCATTTTACAAACTACCTTTCAAATTCACACTGAGCTGTGGGCTTCCTGGACTTGAGGCTTTCTCAGATCCAAGAAAGCGGTGAGCCTGAGCAAAAGAAGCTGAGACAGAACCCAAGTGAATGTGATTCAGTTGATGTTCCTCACAGATTATCAGAATTTCTTACGTTTTCTGCTTTTTTGCTTTAGCTTGCAGTTTTATCCACCTTCCCCTCTCCCCAGACAAACCCTATTACCTTTTAAAATTCAATTCAAATCATCTTTTTGCAGCCAACCTCTGCCAACTAGCACACAAACTTGTGTTATTGTCAACAAGACAGTGAGAGACACTCTCATCATTGTGTACCACTCCTCATGACCCTCCTGTAAATCAGACCCACCAGTGCTTTTCTGTGCATGTGGTTCTCAGTAAATGCTCTCTCTACAGAGAAGCAACAATCATACTGGTTGCTGAAAAATTATTCTCAACTACTGTATGTCATTGAGACCTTCTTCCTGACTTCACATCCTATTTGTATATGTTGCCAAACTTAGAGTAAAAAGGAAAAAAGCTTAAGTAGGGCATTTCTAATCCTTTGCTGGGACAGCATTCATACAATTCTTACTAAATTAAGCTATTTAAATTAATCAAATTTTCCTTTTTTTTTTTTTTTTGGTTTTTTTCTGGTACCGGGAATCGAACTCATGACGTTGCACTTGTCGGGCAGGTGCTGTGCCGCTGAGCTAAATCCCCAGCTCCAGATTTCCCTATCTTTAAACTAATTTCCAGAGTTTCCCATTGTAAGTTTTCATTCATTTCTTAGTCAAAAATTCCTTCTGGAATCTAATGCCATCCTTCTTGATACTAATTTACATTCTGTTACTTTATTTAATCAAGCTGCTATGAGGATACTAATTTGAAGGCTATAGGAATCTTTTCTCCCACTTTTCCACTAACCCAGCAAAACCCTATCACTGGTTCAATTGTTTCTTGTCCTGATCACTCTGAGCCTTGTTTTCCCCTCTGTTATCATTTTCAGCCATTTGTACTTTCCACATCCCTGTATTTCTCTAGAGACTCATTCTTTGAATTATCCTCCAAAACATGTCAAGAGTTCTGGAATCTGACCACATCCACCTGAAGTTCAGAAGGGTAGGTTCTACTTGAAGGGAGAAAACTTGTCCAGAATTCCACATTGCTTTCAGATTATGTGGCATTTAGAGCATTTAGCAATGGGTTTAGGGTGGTACTGAACAATAAGAGCTGACCGTGGTCATAACCCCCATGTTGGCCTGTGTCTGGCTGGCCTGGCACTGAGGTTTGGGATTGCACTGAGGGGATCTGTGGAACTATCTGGCATAGCTGGGCTGGGGATGAACAGTCAGAAGGCGTGGAACATTGAAAATTTATTATAATTTGCTGTGGACATATTCTGATATTTCAACAATGGTCATGGTCCTACCATGCTGTTCCTGGAAAATGCCAGCTCTGCTTATAGGAACTTCAACGTGGAGATATTTTTAAGGAGCTTAGTCAGAGGGCCAATACTTCAGTTTCTTTAAAGTCCAGAGTGCTATTTGGAAACCCAAAATGGCACACATACTTTGGGCCTTAAATCAGAGTGAGGCTTGTTTGGAATCAATTCTATCTGCTTACACATGTATGTCCTTGGTAAAATTATGTGTTCCCTCTATTCCTAAGCTTTTTTAAAATATGCAAACAGATAATGTGCCAAATTTTTTAGGTTATTGGAGTTTAAAATCAAGTACCATAATATATGATAAATGATAGCAATGTGTATTATTAATCTGCCTTCAGTCTAAAAAGTAGGAACATTTTTATGAATAAGGAAGAAGTAGGGGAGCAGCAGAATGTAGCAGAATGTGAGAAATCTAGATGGTTAGAGATGGTTGTTGCTGTAGGTAGAGATGAACAAAATGCAGGGAGAGTTCCTCATTCTTATCTAATGCCCAAAGGGATGGGGACCAGAGACATGATCTAATCCTGCTTGCTTATTTTGCAATACAGGAAACCAGGCAGGGAGAGAGAGAAAGAGAGAGAGAAAGAGAGAGAGAGAGAGAGACAGAGAGAGAGAGAGAGACAGAGAGAGAGAGAGACAGAGAGAGAGACAAAGAGAGAGAGACAAAGAGAGAGAGACAGAGAGAGACAGAGAGAGAGAGGCAGAGACAAAGACAAAGAGACTGACTTACCTGGAGTCACATAGAGTGTTAGTGGTTGTAAATGGACTCAGAGTTGTAAATTCCAGGTCCTGTGCATGCACTTTCTTCCTTTATATAATGCAGACTTTCTCCTGCCCCTTAGTCTCTTGGTCTCTAAGGCCCAATCTTCACAGCTCTCCACCTCCTCCCAGGGATGTGGGTCAGACAGGCCTCTCCTCTTCTCTGTTGCTATGCTTCAAGCAGAATCTGTGAATTGGGACCGAGAGTGAAACAGCGTAGGAAGAGAGAAAAAGGAAATAAAATTTCCATGATGTGGCCCATAAGACTTTCCGCATTCACAGCCGAGATACACATCCTTACCATTGCAAAGGGCTGCGGGGAATCCCAGAATAGCCAATAATTTTCTGTTCACGGACAGGACAAACTCGACCTCAAGCCAGCTGAGCCCCATTCCATCTATCTCCAGTGTGCAGTAGACTCTCACATTCCTTCACCTATGAGAAATATCTTCCTGGATTCTAACCCTCTTCAATGTTACTGCAGTTTGGAAGATCGTCAAAGCAAAACTTACCCTGCATACAGCACTTGAGCATTCTGAGACTCTGTGCTGTAAGAGAGCTCTTCAGTCTATTTCAGGAGAAAAGGAGGATGTTTTTTGGTACATAGTAGAAAAAGAAATTCCACTTTGCCAACAACAATTTTCTCACTGTCCTTAAAAATAAGTTTAATTGAATAAATACTGAAAGGAGAGTGTCTTTTTTTCTATCCTTCACTTTTTTCCTTACATCCAATTTCAGGATGTGGATGAGTTTGATGGAAGGCTGTAAATTGCTGTAGGAAATATTGAAGTCATGCATTTCAGTGGAAGATATCAATTTTGCTTTGTTTTCATTTTTCATCTGGATAGGCAATGAGGCATCAAGAATAAGAAAAAGCCATTCACCTGGGCTGACTTACAGACCATTTTGCCTAGAGATGGTAGGAAGAATGAGTCTATTTCTTGACCATTGAGTTGGCTCTTTGAATTATTTATTAATTCTTTAGATCTATTTTCTTGATAATGAAACTCTTTCCCTTGGGCACTCATGTTTATTCCCCTATTTTCTTTCTCAGTAGCTACACACACTCTTCTTGTAATCCCTCAGCTCATTTGATTGAACTTTATTTTCAGCCAAAATCTGTGTTGCAGCCATTCTGCACCGGGGTTGGGTGTGTGCAGGCACAGAGTGTTGTGAGTACTGGGTTAGTCACTTTGATCTGGTCCCTTAGGTGGAAAACAGGACAGCTGCCACTTTGCCGGTGGAAACAAGTGCTTGCTTTTCTGCCTTTCCTGTGGCCCAGAGTGAGGGCTGTGAGTAATGATATGGGCTACAACCAAATTTCTTCTCCATTGTGTATTAGCATCTGAATCACAAAACTTCAACTAAAAATGACTGAGTTGGGTCTCTGTGGTTACGAGAATGCTTCATCTCCTGATTACATCTTAACTTCTAGGTGGTCGAAAGAGTTATGAGGACTTGTTATTAGTATGGTTGAAAGAGTCTCCACACCGCCCGGGGTGCCCATGAAGCAGAAAGCATGTGTTTGATGTTTTCTTTCATATCTTCATCTTGTTATCTTTGATACCGTTCTTGGAAGAGTTACACTGTGGACCCAGCTTCCTCTGTTCCCAGTACTGCTTCAGCTTCCAGGAGAAACCAGATCTGTGGCTCTAACCACTCGAGCTGAACAACCACCGAGTTTGAACTTTGGACTCCCAAGTTTCAAGTCAAGTCTCCAACCTCCTCTGCTAGGCGCTGCCCTGGACTGTTCAGAAAGTTCCCTTGCCTCTCTACCCATGGATGTCTGTGGTATAGTCTCCAGTACTTCCCTTCTAAATTCTCCTCTTAGCAAAGCACTTCCATGGGAATGCTCTGATCTCCTCTGCGCTCTGTCTTTAGGGTCACCTCCCTTCCCCCCACTAGTGAGCTTGGTAGCACAGTAGGGGCGTGGGAAAGCCCCAGCGGGGAAGATCTTTCCATTCCTCCACCTCCAAGAGTCATGTAGGTGGTGACTTACTCAGCCTGCCTACCCTGAGACAAGGGGTGTCAGAAGGACCCTCTCAAGTATTATGAGGATCGCTGAGAGGTCAGCATATCCCTCTGTGAGATATAGAACCTGAAAACCAGTCCATATAGGATATTAACTGCCTGTAGTTCTCTACTTGGCCTGGTATATCTTCCTGCATAGGTAACTCCTGTATATCTTGCTGTAGTTTATCTCCGCAAAAAATTTCCTCTGCAGCCTCTGAGGAGAGAGGTCCAGCTCACAGAAAGTAAAATTGGACCAGGCCTTATGTTCCCAGTTCTTAGACGTGTGGACACTAGAATAAGACTGGAAGGAAACTGGGAGACTTTTCTCGTTTGTAACTTTTCAAAGCTGGATTTAGATTGAAATGACTACAGAAGCGAGTGCTACAAGGTACAGAGAGGAACTTCTCAGGTGACAAAGGTGAAATTTTCCTAAATATTAATTCACGTCACCAAAGCAGTCCATGTTTGTGACCCTAGAATGGCTACTTCTCTGGTAATAGGAGAAAAAATGAAAATGACAGGACCTTCCTGTTCCAATAGGCACACAGTGATGATATTAGTAAGGCTGAGGTCAGTAAAGTGAGAGCCTGTTTCGCAACTTTTCTGTTCTGATTTTTCTCTAACCTGTTTCCTTCTCTTAGTATAAGCCTAGACAAGAACAGCCTTGAAATTGAGGCAATAGCTATACTTACCTGTCTGCTGGTAGAGAGCCGAGTTTGAGGTAAAGCAGTTCTCACAGCTGAGCAGAGCCCTTCCCAAATTTGGGGAGAGGGGCCAGGAGAGTAGGACAATCTCATGGTGTAAATTGTGCCTTTGTCTCTGTTCTCATTCAACCGCTGTTGCCAGCTTGAAAGGGGAAGCGGAAATGAGAACACACACACATCTACACAGGCATCTGCACAGGCCCCACCTCCGACCCCGGCCACATCCTCTGCTCCGGCTCAGGAGGCTGAAGAACAAAACATCTGCTGAGCTCACGAGTAGGAGGCCTTTCCATTCAGAGAGCTGCCCGAATCCTTCCAAAGCGTTATGGGATCTCTTCCTGATGAGGGAAGGTACAGTCCAGTGAATGATGTAAGTTTGGGAAAGTCTTCCTCCTGTATAGCTAGAATCCCACTGCTGTCTCAGGAGGAGCGATGAGATGGAAATTCTCTGTCTTGCAAAAATCATTTCACGTATGTTTCAGTGAAGATGCTTGGTGCCCTGTCTGGGCCAGAGTGAGCGTAATTTCATAATTCTTTCACACTCTGGAAAATTATCCAGAAGTTGGATTTCAGGTACTGCATACTTACTTGTAAGCAACTTTTTTCTGTGTTAACTTCTTAACACATTGTTTTTATGTTCAAGGTACTCTGAAGTTTTGCTTTTTAAAGTAAATGGCTACTTTCCTAAGGAATTTTTAAAGCTGTACTTTAAAAATCTGTTACACCTCAGATTGTATTCAGTTTACTGGCTTCCAGTTCCAAGAAATCTTATTAAACTCTAGAAGATTTCTCCCATCTGTTATGATTTGGTTCTGGATGTCCCCCCAAAGCCTCATGCAGTCATGGGGTGGGATTTTAGAGTTCATGATTGATCCATGATCCAATGCTGGGGTTATGGGTGCGAGTGCTACACCCATCCTGGGGTGGATAGTTTGCGTATGTAAGAGAGAGTGAAGCTGCTTGCTGTCCTCCTCCCTTTTGCTCTTGCTGCTTTGCTATCTTCTGTGAACGGTTGCCCTGTGCCATGTGCCACTCTGCCTTGGAGCCAGCTGAGTATGAACTGAAACCTCCACAAACTATGAACTAAATAAACCTTTCCTTCCTTAATTTTGGGCATCAGGTGTTTTGTCCCAGCAACGAGAGAAAAATAACCAAGACACCAGGCTGACTTTCACCTTTGGGTGGCATTCAGGGTTGTTGAGCTTGTCTCTGCCTCCAGTGTCTTCTGATACACTTTCTTCTTTGTTTGATGTTGTGCTGTTGCAGATCTCTCTCCCTCTCTTTCCTGATTTTTATCCTGCTGCCTTCTGCGCAATATTTACTTATATTTATCATGATATTTTTTAAGGCACTCCTCTAATATGCTACATGCGATGGATTTTCACACACCCATTCTCTTGTTTCTAACCTTATGGCTGTAATCACATATGGGTCTCTTTTTATCATGTTCCCAAATTCCATTCCCACTCATCAATCAGACATTTCTACTGAATATCCACAGGATAGCTGAAGTGGAAAGAAGACGAAGAAAAGTTTTTGTTTGGCAAATTAAGCTCCTTTATTGTTTTCTTAAGTATATTATAAGGAAAACAATAATTCTTTTCTCTTTTTCTGTCTTTCTCAAATATCTACATCCTCTCCAACTACGTTCCTTTATATGTAGAAGAAAACATCCAATAAAAATTTTAAATGCTAACTATAGAGAACAAGTAAAATAACTAAAACTAACACACCCTCATTCTTTTCATGACTCTTCTGCATGCATTAAATATAAAATTCAATGAATGGAATGCTTGAAGTCTCTTTTAACTCTAATTTCTGGAATTCATATTTTTAACATTTATGTTTGATGTGTCTTAGATATAGAGAATGTCATCTCTATGGGCAACCTAGAAATATGTGAAGGAATTTTCATTTTCATAGTGATGGGAAGCTGATACTGGTGTTTAGTTGTTGGAGGCCAAAGAGGTTCAGTACCTTTGAAAGCATGAAATGGTACAGCACAAGGAATATTTTGTCCTGGCCAAAATCCCATCATTTTTTGAACCCTGATAAATTCATACTTAGAGGAGCAGGTTTTGGGATCAGACTTTGGCTTTGACTGGCTCTGTAGTTCTGAACACATCTTTAAGCCTCAGTTTACCTGCTTGCACAATGAGGATAACTGTTCTAAATGCAAAGGAGTAAAGCAATCAAGGCAAAAGTTCAACAAATAACAGCTATTTTTGAAGGCCCTCGAAATATAGTATTTTAACTTATCCAATGTGCTATATATCTATCATTAAAGAAGCCATTTCAGAGGTAATTTATTTTATTAATAAAAAGAACATTGTTTTTGGCTATTTTATCAAAAAAAGAAATGCTTCCCCCTCTGATCTTCCCTCCTGTCAGCCTTGGAAAACATTAAGTGCCTCTATATTTTTGATGACATGAGCTTCTTTTTTTTTTTTTTTTGGTACCAGGAATCGAACCCATGACCTCAGCCTTGCCAGGCTAGCGCTTATGCCACTGAGCTATATCAGCAGCCCACAAACTTCTTTGACTATGTTTTCTATGTGTTTCTTAAAACCATAATCATTGGCCCTTTCTGTAGTAGATGTAGTTCAGGATTTCAGAAAGTTTTTAATGAGATATGTGTTAATTTTTCCTTTGGCTAAAAATAAAAGCTCTCACACTGAGATAACCGAGTGAGCTCTTCATTACCTATGTGATCCAGCAGTTTGGTGCCTTGTCACATGGCCAGTTTGTCATTCTAAGGTGGCTTTCCCATGGAGCTTAGCAAAAACACTGAAGGAACCATCTGACTTTAACACTAGTCACATAATAGTCACTTAATTTACTGAAGATCAGTCTCCTGCCAAACAGGGGAATATTTGGTAATGTTCTCTTGGTTTAGACATCTATAACATCTACACAAACTATTTTTCCACCTTTTTCTAACTACATATAGTTCATTATGGACAATGAAAATTTTACGTGACAAATATTTGGTAAGAGATCATTGTGAAGTTAATAAAAATATTTCTAAAATGCTCTTGTCCATTGCAAAACAAAGTAAAACTGCTTTGGAGGGACACTGTTCTCTAGACATTTAACCTGAGAACTGTGATAATTCAGAAGAGCTTCTGAACATGGATGCACCCATCAAACAGATGGACGGGGCTGGCCCTAAGTTCTGAAGCTGAAAACAGAGCTCAGCTGGCGGGTTGCCCAGACCTGGGGCAGAGCCAGGACAGCTGTCCAGAGAGGCCGCCCCAGGATACAGAAGCTGTGTACAGAGGCCCCTCTCTGCCTAGCAGCTGGGCCCCTCTTCCTAGGCCCAGATGCAAGTCATCTGCTTCCATCCAGCTCTCAGATGCTCGCATTTGCAAGAGCTCCTTTTTAAGGATTCTATTCCTTCAGACTGCTGAGGTGGGATTTTTAAAGTGAATGTCTCCTCCCTTTACCAAAGGCTAAAAAGTGGGGTGAGAACACATAGTCCAGTGGGAAAAGGTGATAGTTCAAAATGTCAAGGTTTTGCTGAATGTTCTTGACAGAATAGGGTCTGCCCAGGTTGTTTTGTCCTTCTCTCTGCTATATTCTGGATGCAAACAATCCTAAGAAATAGAATCCTTTCACTTTTCTAGCATGCCTGCATTCCTGAATCACTTCTCTCAGTGAAGGAAAGTTATTCCTTCTGTCCAACCCTATCTTTCCTAAGTCCAGCAGAACAAAGAACATTCTCTTTCAGGCTTACAGAGGGCACATTTCAGAGATCTGGATCATAGTTTTGCTCAAATATGTTTTATTGGGTTCTTTCTGGAACTCAGGAGTAGACTAGACCCAAGAGTGTGTGTGTGTGCATGTGTGTGTGGTGGTGGAGGTAAAGATAAATAACTTACAGTATTATTTCTCAGCTTACTCTTTTCGAAGGATTAACAGAAGACAAGTTGGTTTCTTTAGGGCACGGCTTTTGGAGATTTTCATAAGCTGTTATAAATTGTGACTGTCCTAGAAGAGAAAGTATTATATTTCCCAGTTTCTTTGCTGGTCATAGAGAAGTTCCTTTCAGGAAAGTTGTCCTCCATTACAGCGGCTCGGTTCTGTCTTCTTCAGAGTGAACAATGAACGCACGTTTGCGCAGTGGTTGGGAGGCCGTGAGCTCGGCGTTGTTCAACTGCCTGCTAAGCTTGCGCTCCACCTTGCTTCTGATGAAGCCCGTTCACTCGTAAGGACAGGGCTCCCAAGAGGTCTCAAGTGGGATTTGGATGGTGAGGAGGGCAGAGCCTGGGGCCCTGCGATGAGGGTGTAAGTGCGGTGGGAAATGAACAATCTGGGGAGTTAGTAGGATGGGAGTTAGGGGCCCTTGAGCAACTGTATGGATTTGAGGACTAAGAAATGTGGAAATTGTTCTTAATCTGTTCTCCTGCCTAGAAGAAAAGAGGACTTCAAGTGGGGCTCTTTCTTATACCACGTACCTGGTGTAAAGCAAATACTCATAAATCACAGTGATATAACTGGTCATTAGGAGAAAGGGAGGAATGAAAAATTTTGGGGTGAGAGAATATTTAAGGTGGGTAGGAACTGTCCTAATCCATTTAGGCTGTTATAGCAAAAATAAAATAAAGGGGGTGGCTTACAAGCAACAGGTATGTATTTCTCACAGCTTTGGAGGCTGAGAAAATCAAGGTCAAGGTTCCCTGAAGATTTAGTGTTTGGGGAAGGGCTGCTTCCTGGTTTGCGCATAGCTGTCTTTTCCCTGCGTCTTCACATGGTGGACAGGGAAAGCTAGCTCTGTGAGGTACTTTTTGTAAGGTTATTGATCCCACTCATAAGAGTTCTGACCTCATGACCTAATCATCTTCCAAAAGCCCCCAACTTCTAATACCATCACCTTGGGGATTAACATTTCAATGTATGCATTGGACAACTGAGGGGCCAGACCACTCGGATCATAGCAGTTTTGGAGGAAATATGGAACAGGTGTCAGAGGCCTAGCGATTTCAAAGATTTAAGGAACACCTAAAACGGGATTCTTTAGGCCTTGCACTCTAAAATCGTAAAAAGGGCAAGCATTAAAAAGTACAAGAACGCAAAGAATCTGGAGGCTGCTCTGTGTGTGGTACAAGGGAGAAGAGGACAGTGAGCAGTGAGAGCTGAGAGGCGATTTGGGGGTGGAGGTTTGGGGTATGGTACAGCGGGGAAGTCAGACTAGAGGAAGGGAAGCTTCTGAACCCAGGAGGTTCTTGTCTCTTTTCTCCCTAAGGGAGACCCTGAGGCTCTGAGGCCGAACCATCGAAGTAGACTGCACCCCTTCGGCCACAGGGAATCGGGGACTCCCTGGGCAAAGCAGACATCGACCTCGAAGGAGTAAGTGTGCAGCGGAGCCCAGCGATAGATGAACTGGAGAGCAGCGTTCTGCAGAGACCTTCCTGTCAGTCCATTAGGGGAAGTGGGACAACTCTGCTTTCAGATCAGAAGGGGGTCGGGGGCCGTGCAGGAGCCTCAGCTCCAGGAGAGCCTCCTTTGCCGGGCTTCGAGAAAGAAAGATGAACAAACGGGGGCGAGGAAAGAAGAGGGACTACCTCAGGGAGAGGATCTGAAAGGAAGTGATTCACAAACTAGAGAAAGTGAAACTGAAGCGTAACCCCCACCCAAGCGGAAAGAGGCGAGCCTCTGGGACACAGGGAAGGCGGCGCAGCTTTCTCAGGCACCTGTCCTTGCCTCAGTCCTCCTCCGCAGCTCGCATTTCGCTCTTTAGAAACGAAGAGCAAATGAGACGATGCACGTGAGTGAGATTTAAATACTTAAAGTGTCCGCAACCACCGAGTCCATTGTTTGCTGTGTGCGTACCAAACCCATGGCTTCTGGTCTACATGGGCTCTACTCCTCTCGGTGGGGAGCAATAGCCCGCCCGTCAGGCCTTGCTCTGTTCCTCTTCTGTTCTGCAGATTCCTTACTTGTGAAAGGATGAGATGAAAATAAATTGTCATGAAGTTTCTTTTAGCGTCCTGCGGTGTTTCTAATAATAGCTGCTATCATTTATTATGTGAATAATAGTAACACACTATATTGGCATATAAAATGATAAACATGTATTAACCCAAATCCTTAAAATCTAGAAAGTGGATATTGTGATTAATTAAATGAGACTATGCCTGTTTGAGTTTTCCCACCTTTTACAGACGCTCCCCCTACGTTGATGAACCGCTACGAACCACTAGGTGGCAGCCTATTCCCATTCTCTGAGCTTGTGAAACAGGTGACCCTGAGCGCAGTCAGCTACCCAGAAGGTTGACTTAACCCAAACAGAAATAACCCAGTTTGGGAACATCTGGACCACCCCAGCTTATCTGATTTGGATCACAGAAGGTTGGATGGATTTAGAACTAAATGGGCAACTGAGATATTTCCCTTTCAATTGCTCATTTTTAGTTAAGGACGGCCAGGGTTGAAGAGGATTTCAAAAGTTTAAGGACAAAAAGACTGTCTAACTGACAGGTCTAAGTAGCATAAATTCCAGGATGGTAAAGTTTAGGATATATGTGAGAACAATAAACTGTAATATAATTGTAATATAACTGTAAAATAATTGTAATTGTAAAAATAAACTCTAATATAATTGTTTAATTATATTCAACACTGTAGTTATATTGAAAGTTTTTTTAATGGCAAAGAGGGAATAGAATCTAAGAAAATTAACATAAACTGAGTGTAGAGCTAAGAATGACTTAAATGCCAGATTTCATTTTCAAGAATTACTTGAATGTTTTGAATGGTTTTGATTATTAAATATTTATTTTCAAATAATTTTAAACTTATAAAAAAGTTGTAAGAACAGTAAAGATAACTTCTGTATATCTGTACACCTCTCACTCCAACTTTTTTTTTTGAGACAGAGTCTCCCAGTTCAGGCTGACCTTGAGCTCACTTTGTAGCCCAGGCTGGTCTTGAACTCACAATGATCCTCCTGCCTCAGCCTCCCTAGTGCTGGGATTACAGGTGTGTGCCATCATGCCTGGCTGTCACTCCAACTTATAACTGTTAAATATTTTTCTTTATTACACTTTCTTGCCTGAACTTTTGGAGATTATGCTGTAAATTTTACGCCTCTTACTATTACCGGAAACCAAGGGCAGTGATTTTTTTTTTTTTTATAACTATTGCATTATCAACAAAATTAGAAAATTTAACTTTTATCAAGATCTAATGTATAGATTGTTCAGACTTTATTATATTTATAGTAATCTGCAGGATCACACTCTGCATATAGTTTTAATTTCTCTTTTGTCTTCTTTGATCAAGAGTTTTCCCTCCTTCTTCCTTTATCTCTCATGACGTATATAGTTTTGAAGAGTATAGTGCTTCCCTTCTGTAGACTCGCTCAGTTTGCTTTGTCTGCAGTGCTTGTAATCAAGCTTGGGTAGGGGATTTTGTCAGCATTGCTGTCCGTGATGCTATGTTTTCCTGAGGGCACCACGTGAGGAAGAGCATGGGAACATAATGTGGTACTTTCCTTTTTTATTCCTATAAAGTTATAGTTTCCCTTTTCAAATTATTAAGTAGCTTAAAATACTTAAAACAATGTAAACATTCTATTCCGTATCAAACTCAACCTGCACGCACTAGTTTGGGCATTTTATTTTCTTAACAATGGAAAGGCATAAAAAATATACTGAGCTGAGTGGGATAAAATCAGAGCCATGTTTAGACAAAGCACTCTGGAAGCTGTGTGTGTGTGTGTATGTGTGTGTGTTTGTGTGTGTGTGTGTGTGATTTTACTGTCTCTAATTACTGTGCTGTCTTCCTTCATTCTCCCAGCAACTCTATACTAAAGTTCTAACTTACTGCAGGACTCTTACTTTGATCTTAACATATAACAATCTCCATAAACTGGGGGAGGGACGCTCTTATTCTGGGCTGGTGCAGCCCAGTCTCCCATCAGACTGGTTGTATTTGCTCAGTTGGGCAGGTAGCTGGTGCAAGGCACAACCAGCGGGATGATAACATCAGAGACCTGCACCTCTGTACTGGATTTGGGGAACATCAGGATCTTTGAGCGAACAAATATGTTTTTAACACTGTAAAGCTGTATTACATTAATGAGATCATATGTCTATTAAACTCTGACAACTTCTCTATCTTCTAGTTGACTCACTGGACATCCTAGCATTTAAATTTTATTGCCATCTTTCAAGGCATGCATTATAATTCCTACTACACAGCTAAACAAACTGAGATCCAGCAGTCTCACTGAAAGACCGGATTTTATTCCTTGTCTCTCTGATTCTGAAAGCTGTACCATTTTTTTCTGCTCTATATCTCCACTGATTGCAGCAATAATTTTAAGAGCAGCCCTGTCATCGTCTCATAACTGACACAATCAGTTTTTAAATATACACATATTTTCCCAGCAACCTGTAGGGAACATAAAATAAGCACCGTTTGCCTATTTGTAGATGAAGAGCTACAAATACCCACACTGCGAGTGAGAAAACCAAGCCTGTAGTCTTTCGGTCAAGAGCTCCAATTTTAGCTTCTATAGTCTTCTCTTGAGGAGAGGGGAGAGGATTCGGGGGAGCGCGGGAGAAGAGGAAGGGAACGAAAGCAGCGGTGGTGGGCATCAGGAGTGAGACCGTGAAGTCGTGACTCCTCCTCTGGCTCCCTGGATGCGAGCCGGGAGCTGTCCCACGATGCTCACTGGCTTCAGGATGCGGAACACATCTGTGCCCTTTTTAGTGCCTCTCACCAGAGCCCAGGAGGCTGGCAGGGACCCCAGAGAAGACCCACCCTTGGGGGTAGGGCAGATGTCTAGCAGCTGAGCCAGCAGGACCAGAGAGCAGGGAGGGTTGCTCCTCCAGCTCCCAGGTTTCCAGAGGCGCCTCCTTTCCTCCGTAGGGGGAGGAAAGCTTCCCCACTTGTTCCTAGGTGCTCTTAAGGGCTCAGAGGTGGCCTTTGCCTAAAAAAAAAAAGAAGGCTGAAAAAGTAACAGAATCGCAAAGTATGAAGCAAAGGCAAAACTGGGCATCTTCTCTGCTTTTTCTTATAAGGCAAGAGGCAGCTAGCGGAGAGCAGAGAATGATTTTGTCGATGCTTGCAGAAGAGGGCAAAGGTTGAAAGTCACAGAGAAAGTTCACTGCAGGTAAAGAAAGTGATCCCCAACTTATCTCTATAGGTCCTCGGTCTGGTCTCCTCAGAAGTCATTTGAGTGTCACTGACTTAGGCCTGACATGGAGAAAGATCTCCGTGGAACTTTGAGGTGTTCTGTCACCTCACAGGGTAGAGGAAGCCTGCAGGTCTGTTGAGGGCATGGAGGGAGGTAAGTAACGATGCCAGGGGAGCGCTGTGCTTCCCAGGGGGCACCGAGGACAGCCTGGGTTGTTGGATTTGAATCCCTGCCCTGTCGTTAACCAGCTCATTGAGTCTGGGCAAGCTGCACCGTCTTGAAGGCTGTCTTCTTGTCTAATGCGGGACAATAGTGCCCCTGTCAAAGTGGTGTGTGCGTGAAGCAAGGGGATGTAAAGCTTCGTGTGTCACCTTGGCCATTGTCCTTGAGCCAAGAAGCCAGCTGCTATCACACTTGTCACTAATAGTGAAAAGAGCACTGCTTGGAGTGTGAAGAAACCTGGTTTCCATTAGTTTCTTTCTGGGTGTCCAGGTCTTTCCCTGGCGAACAGTATCCTGTCTTTTCCTGCCATATGTCCTCTACACAAGGCATGCTTGTATGAGATCCAACTCCATTTCCAGTTCTGACACGAGGTCCCGCTTTGAGTAACCCACAGTACCACTTCGAGCCTCAGTGGCCTCATATAGAAATGCAGAGGATAATACCTATTTGGATTGTTGCTTAGTAACAGCATAGTGTTTAGAGCCTGATATTGGAGGATACCTTCAACACTTACTAGCTAACATGACTGTGGGCATTTCATTTAATGTCTCTGTGCCTCAGTTTCCTCAGTTGTTAAATGAGTGTTTATAATACCTTATATAGATTTAGAAAAGCTCCTTAAGCTTGATTTTCTTTTGTTTTTGTTTTTTGTTTTTCTTCCAGTACCAGGAACTGAACTCACGACCCTGTGCTTGCCAGGCAAGCGCTTTTGCCACTGAGCTAAATCCCCAGCCCCTAGAAAAGCTCCTTAAGATACTAAGTCTAAGCTGCATAGTTAACCAGAGCTCAGCACAAAGTAAGGACTCGGGAAGTCAATTACTAGCTGGTAGCTTTTCTATATGAATGAAATCACTTAATGTGCATATTTTAATCACAATTCTTCTGCCTTAAACAGAAAAGGAGATAATGGGTGTACAGAGTTCAAATCCTTATTCTGCTTGTCCCACTAAAGTTGTCCTGATGAGAAAGTGTCGGAAAATATTTTCCTCTAGATTCAACCATAACCTTGTCTAACACCCCTTATTTCCTCCTTCAGGGTAACCGCAAGGTCCATCCATCAACTCTCAAGCTCACCTTTGTCATGCAGAGTGAACTAGCCCCTAGCTACAAATCCCTCCCTAACCTACCACACACACACACACACACACACACACACACACACACTTACACATTCTCAAAAGCAGAATTAAAGTCACACGGTCCGGCCACTGTCAGAAGCCCCTTTCCTTCCCCCTTCTCCCAAGGGAATCGTCACCTCCATTTTCACCCACTCCCCCTGAGTCCTCCAGCACAGACACACACTGGTCAAAACCCCACTTCTCCTCCCCTTCTCTATTGCCCCATAATTATATTCCCCGCCTCCCAGTGTCATGCTAATACAAGCTCCTGGCACAGCTGCC